ATAGTTACGGTTCCCGTGGGATTCATTAATTTAGTTTTTTAATGTTTACTCGATCATTCTGCAACGGTGCAACATATCTTATTGAAATTTGTCACAGATATAAAACAAAGTCTGGAGTACACGTGGGATAAGCTTCATCCCCGAGAAATGTCCGGTTCCCGAGGGATACGCAGCTTTTTGTATTTTTTATAGTTTGTATGTTTTCTAATAGCACGCGTACGAAGTCGCGGGCAACAGCTCGTATATTTGTTAACGTAGAAACAAACGCTGTAATATTTTAACCGTCAACCGGTCTCAGATATACGATATTAATCTAATAAGTTATATTCTACAACTAGTTTGAATCACGTGTAGTCAACTGCACGTTTTACCTACTAACATAAATGACTATTATATACAAACCTGATACTCGTACGTTAGGTTAGCAAACATATAACTAACGAGTTAAACTTGTGCTTAGTTTTCATTAGTAAGAACATAATACACATATTTTCATTCAGGATTACACACAGTTCATTCCCATTCACAATTTTGTCTAGAAAAATCAATAGAAAGACAAAAGGCGTGAAATCTCTTAATTTTTACTTACACATTGTATTATTATTTTAGTATACTACGCAAATATAATTTCCGTTGTCTTATTTGCGAGCAAACACAGTTGGTATTGTTGACAAAACAGTAAGTGCAAACAATAGGATGCCTGCTAAGTGAATGGATGGTAATTTGTACATTGTTTGTAATTAAATTGAATGTTATGGATTGGATGGATAGAGATATTATCCGTAGAGTGCATTGTAGACTGTCGAATAGATAGAATATATACAAGCAAAAGTCTGTTTAAGAAATCATTAGAGTAATATAGTTGGGGAAAAATACGAATAGAGTAACGTCTTCAAAGATGGCTATGACGTATCATACGTGTATAACAAAATTCTTAAGGTTAACAGTCGTTAAAAAAGCTGATCGAGCGAGAAACTAACGATGTCCCAAAATTAAAAGCAAAGGAGCAACCGGTTCTAATCGTGATCATCAGATAAGTAAACCACGAGTAGAGTAATTCAAACTTTATGGCAGCTCCAAACACATTGTACAGAACACAATTTTAGGTTATGACAAAATACATGTTACTTGTTTTGACACATATCGTTATCTTTTTTTTTGCAAAGAGAATAAAAGGGATGAAAATATGTATTAAAACAAAGTGTCACAGAATTCGGAAACAACTGTTACAATAACTACATAAGTATCGTTAGCGATGACCTTCTACTTTACTTCGGAGAGTTACCTATTCTCGAGTTTTTCCCTGTCCGTAAATCACATCTGTCACAAGTATGATTACGCACATAAATAGATCAGGCTCAAGACTAGACCGTAATTAATATATTGAGATATAAAGATACGGACTGGAAACTTGCATGTAAAAGATTGTATTTATTTAATACTTTGTTATTTGATTTTAAATGATACATAGATTATGCGTCTCGGTTATGAAAAACATATTTTGTTTGGTGAATCTTGTTTTTTGTTTCGTTAATCTTATCTATTCTTTACAGCATCATGCCTGACCAAGAAGTAGAACACAACAAAGACATAGTCGCGATTAAAGATTGGCTCAGCAAGCAACCCCATCTACCGCACGACGTTGGTGAGTAGACATGCTCTGTTTTGCTCTCAGAATATTGCTTACTTAGCTTAGTGTAGAACTTCATAATAAACAGAGTAATTAGCTGCCTTCTAGTAATGATATTTTAATCAGATTTATAATTCAATGAACTGAATTAATGTCAGCGAAAGGAGCTGTTGCACCCGCGTACGTGCGGTTGCGATAATCTGTTGTAACGTTGCTCTATTGCACTTTGCGGTGCTGCAAAAATGTTGTCCATATTCTGTTACGTAATAAAAACAACTCGCCACTGTAATTAATAAAATATTGTAATGAACGAATTTTATCTTAAAATAATGCGTATTATTATTTTCATCACCAAAGTTAGTGGGTTTTATAAACAATCCTATGTCATTGAAAATAAAGCACATATTATAGATTGACGAGACAGCTTATTAACAATAATCTATATTAGACATACAGGTTTACGAATGAATTACACAATTTGTATACCATTCTATGCATCGGTCCTGTATTTAACGCTGATTTCCATGATTAATTTAAATTTGATAATTTTTGTATTGAAAGCAGGTATTATTTCCTTTTGCAATATCAATTTCTGTTTCATTCCTTACAAGCTGTTTCTGTGCGGCTTCATCGGCATGAAATTATAAACTTTATTAATTGTTTACATTTGTGAAAATTATAATAGCAAAGGTAAGGGACATCCCTCATGACAGTATTTTCCAAATTACATCCTTCCTAAGTATGAAGTAAGTGTTGGGATAAAAAAAATATTCAAAAACATACCTACATAACTAAGTATGTGTTTACGCTTTATTATATTAGTATCGAAGTAGTTATAGAAGTAAAATTGGTTGTTTTATTTCAGAGGATGTGCTGCTCCGTCGATTCTTTACCAGTTGCGGGTTCAGCTTGGAGCGTGCAAAACGCACCATCGACTTTTTCTTCACCATCCGCTCCACGGCGCCAGAGTTGTTCTGCAAGCGGGATCCTTGGTCGCCAGAGATAAGACGTGTCTTTGAAATTACGTGAGTGTAGAAAATCATTTTATTATAGAATAAAAAATTGCAAATAGTTTTGAGGCTATTATATGTCGTGGCTTTTTGTTATCACCATGTCATACTTAAATTAGAAATGTGCTAAGATTTAGAAGGATCTTTATTAGAGTTTGTAGCCTAAACGGCTGAACGCATATGGATAAAGTTTACCATTGATGTAGAGGATAGTCTGGAAGAATACAAAGACTACTTTTGTACTTTTTTCGAATTCAACGTCGACGGAGTCGCGGACGAAAGCTAGTATATCATATATCGTTTAACTAATAAGGGCTAGAACACACTGTGACTAACACTGTAAATGGAATCAATTGAACTGGAGTACTGTGGGTGGAAATATGGCGGCACGTCAGGCAACAAACAATACACAATACTACGCTCATGTACAACTTTATTGTTCTGTATTCAGAGTTAGTTCTACCGTGTTTAATATGCGAATAAAATTAACGTTATTGGAAAGCGTGCTTGGTGCATCCTAAATGACAACAGCAACGAAATATGAAGTGGTAGCTGGTGACAAAACGTAAGCAACAGTAAATTATTCCTTTGGTTGCGAGTTAAATTATTACTCGAAATTATTAAATAAGCAAGAAATATTAACCCTTTTCAAGATACAATTTCGTAGTACATACATTACACCTTTTAACACGCATTTAACTATATTTAAAAATTCATAATACTTAACACAATTTTAAGATAACTGAAAAAAAAATTGCGTAGAGACCGTTATTTATGCAATTTCACTTTCCTTCGTTAACATAATTTAGGCGTTCAATTAAAACGGGTTATACTGATCTTTTAGCCATAAAATGTAATATCTTAGCCTAATTTAAATTTGTAATTAAACCTCGAAACCTTGTCTTAAACAGGCAACGTTTAAATCAGATACATAAAGTTACCATTACAGAGGTTTCTTATTCACTGCAAAGTTTCACGCTTCAAAATGTAACATAAGACCCAATTACATAGATCTGGTTGAAAATTTCGTTAAACCAGCTACACACGTTACTTGCACAATACTACTGTTCAGTTAGAGCCGAAGGTGTGTAACCGACTTTTTTTACATTTTTAATTAATTACAACTCACATCATCGTTCAGTTAAGATATCAGAAAACGTAAATAATTAAAACAAAAACTATAAAAGATAACAAACGTCAATACTAGTTTGATTTTTTTTAAAAGTAAACACTTCTAGCACTGCTTACAGGAAATGAAGATGTAATAATAACGAAAAATAATGATGACATCAATGTACATATCGTTTATACAATGATCCCATAATTTATTCGGATTTCTTTTATATTTGAATCCATCCACCCATTTTCAATATTGTTTTCTACGACCTTCATCTCTCCGCTTCAATGTCCATACCACGCTAATCTTTTGTTTTTCAAGGAACACTGGCACTAGTTTTTATACTATCATATCATACTTCATATCATATAAATATTATAAATGCGAAAGTTTAGATGGATGGATAGACGTTTGTTAGAGTTTGTAGCCTAAACGGCTAAACGGATCTCGATGAAATTTGGCACAGACGTTGAGGATAGTCTAGAAGAACACGTAGGCTATTCACTTTCTTTCTTTTTGATTCCACGTGAACGGAGTTGCGGACGAAAGCTAGAAGTTTATAAATATTCGATTATTATTAATCTTGTGAGCAGTTTTCTAATGCACGTATGCTTGACCCAGTAGTGGTAGAGTTCATTGACCTGTCTGCATCAACGTGTCCATATTTTGTAACGTTAATTATTGCTACACTCTTGCATATCGCTGACTGATTTAACGCGAACATTTTACTGCTACTTAGAGACGTATAGCAGTTATTTAAAGACTTGCTTAGTGTAGATTACCCATAATAAATCTACACTGAAGAACATTATTAGTGATAACATCGCAATATAAGTTCAACATTTCAAATTTCGCAATGATGAAATCAAATTAATATTGATTTCGAAACGACGTAATTCATTTATTTAACGGAATTTTTAATTATGATCATGTTGCTCTCTCTAACCTTGTAAAGAATCTCTAACCTCTATCTTTATAAATCCATATGGCATTCTAACTATAAAAAGTACATTCATAAATTAATATACACCAATAAATGAAGACTAACTAAGAGAATATCTATAATTTCTTTCTCTAAAAAAAACTATGCCAATCTGTTCGATGTATAAAGACGGACTTTATCATTACGAATCTTGTTAATTAACTTTTAAGGTAACGTCTTCTAAAATGAAAGGGGAATGAGGAAAATAGATAAAACTCCAAGAGCTATTGATGAAAGTCTACACTACAAAAAGAGTGTGTTCCCAATAGCTTGAGAATACGCCCTTCATTCTGATAATTATGTCAATTTATCCTTTTGTGGTTGTGAATGTCACATTACAAAATGTTAAGGCTAAATAATAATACAACGTAATCCGTTATTTCTTTTATTTTGTTTAATGTTGAAGTAACACCGTATCTCCGGTTAGTGAGTTATTTCGTAAACATGTTTACGTTACAAAACTATCGAGTACAAGACGAAACATATTTATGTAACTCTTAAAACAATATTATTTTCGATAGCATCTTCGTGTAGTGAGTATACACTTTCGTAACAGTAATTGTGACCTTAAATACGGTAAAGACATTTAATTATGCTTTCGTAATATTCTGTTCTGCCATTGATTGCTTTATTTGTTTTAAAACGCCCTAACTGAAACAAAATCACAATTTTATTCACAATACTTTTAAACGTTTTTTGTAGCCTATATCTATGTCACCAGTACATTTATAGATAGTATCTCCTACAATTAAATCTACCGCTGTTGGCGCAGTGACTCAAAGTGGATTTTGCTTTCTACATAAGAGAAAACCAAAGCCAGAAATCCCGCTCTGTCTATAGTAATAAAATCTACCAAACACTTTTATAAAATAGAAGATATAACTCCAAATGAAATTCTTTCAGTGACATGCTTCCCCTACCTTATAAGACGCCGGAGAATTACAAAGTCTTTATTTACCGTCTGAACAATCCAGAATTGGATTTGTTTAACTTCATCGACGCTGTGAAGACATTCTTCATGCTCGCTGACACCAGGCTAACAGAAGAGGACGATATACCTTCAGGGGAGATACCGATCTTTGACTCTGCTAATGTTAGTCTCAAGTTTATTGGCAAAGTAAACCTGTCGGTTCTGAGAAAGTACATGCTGTATACACAGGTTAGTTAGAACAAATGACTACAACTGTCACATTTTCGAACAAATTGTTGCTTTTAAAACGATTTTAGAGTCAGTAGTTGTTAAAGTTTAATATAATTTTCTCTACAAACCGGCCCTTTGATGGTCAAAGGGACAATTTGTCAAGAAAACTTTATGTCGTTGGAGAATATTCCGAGAGTTTGCATATTATCGAGCTCTTTATTAATGTATCTTTACCATTATACAGAGAAGGGATTTGTATATTTGAAACAATTTCTACGTTATTCCTGAGTAACAAAGAGGATGTATTGTTATTATAATATAAATGACTTCTCTTAGGAGAAACCGCTTGGGATAATGATAAGAGGTAAAATAACTTTAACTGTCTCATTATTAGGTTGAGTTTCCAAAGAATATTCTTGCTAGTATTCTAGTATTTAGCCGGTATGTTCATTAAACTTTTTAATGTATTCAATCAGGAGGCGATTCCGATCAGGCTTAAGCAAGTGCATGTCATCAACGCTCCAGCGTATATAAGCAAAATATACGCTTTATGCAAGCCTTTCCTCAAATCTGAAGTCGCTAAGTTGGTAAGTGTTGCGTATTTTTAGGTTAATGTGTTAACAGAGTTCGATCAACCTACCACTTTACCTTCTCTTTCAATGGGCAATATGCATATGACGCCAAATTGCACCAAACTTTTTTTAAGTATACATTATAACTATAAAAATTCCTGCAAAGATTTTTTTTAAATATCATGTGATTTAGTGGCAAAATTTAATCATTAAAAAGTGTCTTTTTTCAAATACCCTCGCTAAGTTCTAAAACGCACACTATTGGTCGAAGCAAATGGCTTATCTAATATGGCGTCGCTGTATTGACAATACACAGTTCATTTACGTTAATTTATAAAGAAATGCACTCTTGAAGTATTTTACTGTAAACACGATATCAAAATTAACTTTAAAATAAAAAAAATAATGAATAGAATTATTAATTACCACTTATTTGTACCACGAATAATAACAGATTGAACTAAGTTTCAAAGGAGTAAAACTCAAGTTACGTAGTTCGGAAACGCATTTCATAAAGTTATGAAACCAATAACACTTACAATTGGTTAAAGGTAGCTGGGAAACCGGCCATAATAGCTACAAAATATGATAATAAAATAGAAAAATAGAAGTAAGTTAATATTTAAAAAAAAACAAATCTAAATGTATGAAGTAAGCGGCCAGCTCCTAGAAAAGTAAATATGTTTTGAAAACGTATTTTATAATACAATTTTTATTAATATAATATTTCCAGGTAAAGTTCCACGAACCGAACTCTAGTACGTTGTACAAAGACGTACCACAAGAGCTGTTGCCATTGGAGTACGGCGGCAAAGCCGGCAGCGTGCAGCAAATCAAACGCTACTGGATAAAGAGAATCGAGGCTAAAAGGTAAAAGGATCGTTGGTATACTCTTGCCTAAGGCTGACAATTTCTTATCTTGACATCGTTGAGTTTTGTAATACGTATAATATTCTATTAAATGAGTTATGACAACCATATCCTACTTCTATGTAGAAAAATGTCTCCTTGAAATGTTATAATGAAATAATATTACTAGATGAGTACACAAAAAACAATTTTGCGCTTGTTTTTATGTTAGCAAGAAAAAGAACAAAACATTTCAAATAGTGAACGTAGCTTTGAATATTGAGATTTGTTTTAGAATTTTTTTATTGTCTAAGGTCAAAGATTCGATGTTGAATGGATGTTACAACTTAAATATAACTTAACTTTCTTTTTTCACCAAAACATGTTAATTCATCGCTATTATCTACAAAATAGAGGTCATTCGACGAACCGTATTTTCGAAAGTAAAAAAGTGGAACACTGCACAAAATGTTTATTATTTTATCAAGTATATTTTTTAAGAACGTATTTTTTGCCAAATATTATTAAATACAACATTATTTGGACATTTTGTTATTTATTACTAGACAGATTAAATTATAATACATTTATATTTAAATACGATTTGTAATTTTTCCTGTATAATATTCATTCTTTAGTATAACGATATGACCTTTTGCATTTGAACATTTTGTCCTAATTTCTTTTTCAGAGATTGGTTCCTAACAAACGACCAGAATTGGAGTGTGGATGAAGCAATGAGACCGACAAATTGCAAAGACGATAGAACGGACCAAGTACGAGATCTGCCGGGCTCCTTCCGCTCTTTGGCCTTGGATTAAAAATTACCCTGTCATTATTATTTGATGTAAATTAATCTGTATTACCCAAAAAAAAATAATTGGACACTGTTTAATTAAATACCGTTTTTAATACTTTGACGGCCGATGATTGATATTATGGACCTCAAGGTGGTTACTTGTTTCACCATAAATGAGATTCATCTTACTGTTTTCTGAATAAGTACTTTATTTTTTGCTGGTTAAGATCGCATTTGGCATCCACGCATATTGTTTGAATAACCATGATATTTATAAATCCGCGACAGACGCTAATCTCGGGATAAAAAGGTTTGTTTAAACTAAAATGTTTTTTTAAACACTGTCTATTTTTTATAGTTGGACCCAATGTTTTTCAAACTGTAGAAACAGAGACTGCAATATGTATGAATGCAAATGTCTATTCAGTGGAACTCTACTGTTACACGTCGTAATTGCGCGACATATTTTATACTAATTGTTTAAAGTTGATGATTTTTGACCCCGTTTTAAAGCTATCTCGACAGCAATATGGCAAATAGATAAAAGGCGATACAAATAGCCTAATAATAAATTACTTGTGTACGAAAAATCTATTTACAAGATATATTTTATATTTAAATCTTGATTTTAATATCGCTCTACAAATATCGTAGAGCGCATTAAACTTAGCAGAACCGAGTTCTTGTATGAATTAATAGGTTAATAATTAAGTGAAAAATCAATATTACCCATAATAACTGTACATTTTATCAATTTCATTCAATTTATGTCAATAAAATAGTCAAAAATATGTTTTTTGAAACTATACCTTTACGGTTTTTTTCTCCGTATGAACTTTTCTATTATTTGCTTCACACAGTAATATCTGAGCATGCTTTAGTTTAGTTATTTAGTTATTTTTCTTTTAGTTTAGCTCTTATTTGTTTAGTTGACGATATTTCTTGTTATAGAATCAAAAAAGATTCCTAGTATGTATCATGATTTAGACGGTGCAAGCGTTAGTTATATTAATTGACTTTTAAGACAATATTCAGCTATCTAGCTAAAGCAAACTTCTTAACCAGGTCAGAGTTTGTGATTAGTTACTTAAATGTAGCTTCCGATCTTGAAGCAGCTTACCCCATATTAATGTTTATTTAACCTTCAATATTTTAATAATAGAAAACTTGTGTAAAAATATAAAAATGTATTTAAAGTCATTTGATAAATATATCAAGAAGCTTAAAATCTACCATCACAATGTTTGTAAAACTTAATCTATTGTAAAATAAATCCTTACTTTAATAACAAGTCTAGTCAATGCATAACGTCTTAAAAGAACCGTTCATTGCATTTTCGAATGAGTTGTTCTTCGATTTCTTTTTCAGATCTGCTTTCCATAGATTATCGTTTAAAAACCTTGATCTGTAAAAAAGAAAAGAGTTAAGACTAATTACAAGATAATTTAATTAGAACAAGCATCAAGTAGTGGACCGCCTAATATTAGTTTGTCGGACCGGATACCTAAGGACATTTGCAACACCACTGCTATTTTGTTTAATTCAGTATACATATAATATGGAGGTACTATAATTAATAATACTCGTGTTGTTTACTGGAAGGAAAAACCAAAATTAAATGCCATTAACTGGTTGTCTTGATTCTATGAATTTTACGCTACATCAAAATGCCTCCGCTAATTACACAACCAAAAAATACAGATGTTAAATACAGATTCAAAATAGCTTTTACACACATATAGTTAATTTGTTATTAAAAGTTGGTGAGATAGATTCAAAACAGTCTGAACTCAGAAAAAAACTCGAAAAAAAAATTGCTAGAGTTATATAACTAGTATTTGCTTTCGTATTCTTTTACGTGAAATATTCCGAAGATCTGTACTTTTTTACATGGATTCTTGTATATATAATATTCCTATTATAAATTATTGAAATCTATATAGAAAAAAGTAAGATAAACGAACTCAAATAAGGTTTCGTGAATCTCTTAGAAATATATAACTTTACACTGTCGTGGTTTTTACAAATGCAATGTTGGTAACAATTCAATCGTGGTAAGAAACCCGTATCTTACGAACATTACATCTTTTAGTAAATTAATAATATATACCTCTGCTCTTGAATTTGCTCAACCCAGCCTTTATGTTGAGCCTTAATACTTTCTGCTTCGCCTCCGTACTCTGAGGGCAAATATTTCCTGTCTATGTGTTTATATAAGCTCTGGCTATCGGGCAGAAATCGTATCTGGAAATGACAAATAATTAATAACATACATACAGTACAATAATTTGCAAAATGTAAGCAAATAAATAATAAACAATAATCAAGTGTCTTTAAAAAGTTAAATTATTATTATAGGATATCATTACATTTTAAGCTACTTACAATGTTGCAAATTTCAGAGGGTAATACCGGTTTAACTAAAGCGAACAGTTTGTCATAAAATGACGGTGCATTTATTGCATAGATTTGTTTAACACGTACTGGCAATCCTTCCTGAAATAATGTAACATTAATTAAGTATTTTCAAGTTTGTACAATATTCAAATTAATACAATAGTCTAAATTATTAATAAAATTATAAACAAAATAAGGTGTGGCACTCATTGACGTGAATCTTTGGTTCGGACGTGAGAAGATTGGAGATCGAACGTGGATCGCAGGATCGGAACGGAGAAGTTCCAGATAAACTTATTGATAGAATAAGCAGGTAAAATTAATTTTTTAAGTATATTTTTATCTCCAGATACCAGTATTAGACGTATTGTTCAAGAAAGGTGCTATAATGCTGTTTGGTAGTTTTATTATGTAGATACATAATAGATATAATAGATTATACAATTAATTAAATATGAAATTTAAAATCTTACCAATAAATACATGAAAAATTCTCTAACGAAAAATATGTTTATCTTAGAAACCATTCTCAAGGAATAATTTTTCATATCAAGAATTATGATGTGGCCTTCAGGTAAGAACTTTTGTTCCATTAACCACATATCTGCCTGCAAGGAGAAACTCTTCAAGATATCGTAGAATTGAAACTTTTCCAGGCTCGGATCTTCAAATTGATGTATTAAGATTTCATCTTCACCAGCCTCATGTGTGGAAACGTTCCTGTAAAGAGAAAGTTAATACGGTCTATAGAATGGATATGATGGTGCGTTTAAAATAAGTTCCAACATGACCTCTATCTGTCAAAAATTGACAACAATTATAACTATTAGAGTGGGGCGAACATCTTGGACAAAACTATCGCACAAATGTTGTGCGATTGTCAATTGTTTTGTGGCCAACTTAACTGACAACTAAAACACGAGTTGTGTGCGCGCCTCCATACGAGTATAAGCTCAAAAGACTCAAAGCGAGTCTAAAGTTGTGCCATATTTTAGTTTCAGGTGTGCGCACGCTCTTAATCTCGCCTATATAGATTAATGTACTAACTGTCATTTTTTATAAATACTACACGGACGTGCATTTTGTCATCTTTTGTTCTTAAATTAGAGAAGAGTCAATATTTAATTGGTTTGATTTGCTTACGTAATAGAGAATGCGGTCTTTATGTTCGGTGATATCGGGTCCCTCAATGAATAGATCTCTGACATGAGACTGCGCGTCGAACAAAACCTTTCAATGCACTTCTTTGTACGCTCCAAGCTACCATAACAGCTGTGCAAAAACTTTTCCAACATGAAATCGTCTGTAATTAAAATGGTTCAATTAAATAGCTATTGGTTGTATCATACTATTTATTACTTATTTCCTAAACATTTATTTTATACTGGATCAGGCCCAGGCCAACCCGCGACTGTAGTGCCTCAGATGAAGATGAACTGTTTATTTTTGACTAGCTATTCCGTTGCGGCTTCATACACAGGTACTTACAAAAATATCATTTTATCGTTTACATTTGTCATTTTATCAATTGCAAATGTCTAAATTATATGACATGATAACAATCGATGGCAATCTTGAATCCTTGATGTTGGCAGCAACTTATGGTCTTTTTCCCACATTAGGATTTTTATCCAATTTATTTACCAACTAAGTTTAATAGCGTGAAAATATATAGCCTACAGCGTTAAGTAAGTGTAGGGCTTTTTATTAAAAAAATAATTATTTAAAAATATGCTAATTGATGACATCTTTAGCAACATTGTGTGTTTACGCTTTATTATAATAGTATAGAAGTATAGACTGATGACATCTTTGGCAATAAAGAATTGTGTGTTTACGCTATTATAATAGTATAGATATAGATGACTTATTCACTATCGATTCGATAGTGAATAAGTTATGAATTCAGGACCCAAAATTGTTACCGTTGAATCATCGAACGGCATTATTTGAAAAACATTCCTTAAACGTACAAATTATAATAAATCTGTGTGTTTGTAATTTAAAAGACAATTAAAGGACCGTGCTTGTTCTTTTATTATAAAAATATTGCATAATTTACTTTTCAATTAATAATGCTATATATGGATGCTATTTATCTCTTAACAATCTGATAAACCTGTGTGCAAATTAAAAATAGTCTTTAAAAAAACGTGCTCCGATATAATTATGGTTTTTCTTCAAAAAATAATTTTTATAGTGATGTATATCATGATAATTATAGCTTAATGTGCAAATATGTATTATTACCATACAATTACGGTTGGAAACTCAAATTAAAGGATTGCAATTGAATATTTAAAATATGTAAATTGTTCCGTGACATTGCCGGGTTAACAATTTTTACATCATATTTGTCGACAATCACTTGGTAGCTGAATTCAATTCTGTTCAGCTGAGAAACCGCCATGACGTGCCAAATAGGGCCCTGAAAGATGATGCTTGTATTTTCTCTATAACTTTTTTTATATTTTTGTTTATATTTGTAATAAATCATACTGATCTTACTAATATTATGAATGCGAAAGTTTAGATGGATGAATGGACGTTTGTTAGAGTTTGGTATAGACGTAGAGGGTAGTCTGGAAAAACACATAGACTATTCCTTTTTTTTATATTCCACGCGGACGGAGTCGCAGGCGAAAACTAGGAATGTTATAAGCATACTGTAGTAGTGCTAGCAATCATTTAATTTTAAAAAATAGGCAGCTAATCAGATTTAACTTTTAATTGCAACATAAAGCCTATTTTTTGATTTCAACACCACATGCTGGCGATGAACAATTAATCGACCCAAAAAGAAAACAATCCTAATGAGCCGATTCATAGGTGGAACGATCGGCTTAATAGAAAACATCCCACATGCTTTAGCATCGTTTTTCTACAGACATGTTTTAATTTAAATTGTCTGCAAAGACAAAACATTGTTCATTTTATTTCATTTTTCAAAGACCGATAACTATTCTTACACTGGTGTTTCGTCAGTGCAAACTCACGGTTTGAATGTTCCAAATTGTTTTATTTGAATTCTAAAAGCGAATAATATGAGTAATTTGACCTTACCAATGTCTTTTGGTAGGTGAGGTTCTTTCGCAAGCCATTCTCTCATAGAGATAACTTCTTGTTGAAGGTCTTGTGGCATCTATAAGCATAAATTATAGCTATTATTATTATGTACAACAATTTAACTTACAATAGATGTTCCAAAAAATAAACTATTTGTTAATTGAAATATCAGATGGGTATCTAAATGTACACGTGTGTCAGGAAAACAATATGAATCGAATACCAACGTACTCATTCAAATGGGTCCAGTTGATACAGAGGAATAATATATCACTTCTATGTCAAACAAGTTTAAGACTAAAAAATCTTAGGATATATTTGTTACTTTACATAATTTAATTTAAATTCGTTTTAATGATGTTTGTCACAAATTGGATCTGTTTTAAAAATATCCCACGTTATTAATCATCATTAGATAAGGTCAAACAGAATTTGGCGTCAGCAATTCTGGTTTTTGTTCAAGTTGTAAAGTTGGTAACGTTGTATGACATAGTTTTTAATTAAAATGATGATTTTATGATCATTACATAATGCCAGCATATTAATAAAATTTTTACTCAGTTCACATTTGTTTCTGGTTTATTATACGACAAATTAAATGGGGAGATTTTGTATGTCTTTGTTTTAGGATTACTTATAAACAATTAAAAATAGAACGAGATATTGCGTGGAATAAAAAAAATATTATTCGTTCTTAGGTTTTAAAAAATGATTAGAATTTTCTTTTTCGGGTGCCATAAAGTGTTATTATTGTTACAGTATTTGATCAAACGTAAACAATATAACTATTGATTTGATAGCAGACATAAAAGTGTCCTCTTTTGATAACAAAATTCATAAGAATAGAATACATTATTTGCTAATAAAATGTAACCCAAAACTCCCTATTGAACACATTCCAATCACTCCCAGAGGAAGGATATTCGAACAACTCCATTATTAAAATCAGTTTAGTAGTAGTCAGTTTACTTAGTTTAGTACTTACTTAGGTTACTTAGCTTATTCAGTTTACGGTCCAATAGTTACAATTAAACTTGCATAGGTACATACAACCCTACACCCATACTCACGAAAATAACATCACATCCCATAACCCTTGCTTGCCAGTGCAATACACAATCTGAGATAGAAAACAAGTGCCAATTGAAAATTATCACTCACCGTAATTTTGTAATTCAAATGATTTAGCAACGTATGACGAAAACTCCGCACAACCTCGACTACGAGAATACGATACGATAGGAAAAAGACAACTGGCCGTCTGTCCGAGGTTCTAGTGCATATGTAAACTTTATGTCAAGGTCACGCGTGTCAGAGAAACTAGATTTTTTTTGTTTAGGCTTCTAGACGCGAAGGGCGTTCACCTGATGCTAAAGAGCCGCATTACTACGGTGACCGCTACTCGTGCTTATAGATAGCTCCTAGAAATTTATCTGCTTTGTTGCATGGAGAAGAAATCTCTTTATTTTCTTATTACATTTTCATCTCGTTTACTCATGTCATTAGATATACATGAATTTCACCTCGCGGGATGTTAAGATATAGAAGAAATTTTGTAATGATTATTCTTCTTATTTCCCTTGGCTGTTCCCTTCTATATAATTTACATTTACAACATTTGACTATACGATTTCGAATTTAATAGACAGAGATTAAGGTAAGTACAATTGTTAGCAAATAGTAAAACTTACCACAGCCTTGAATTACTGTCACTGAAGTATGTTTCATAACTTTAGCATATAGCGAAACTAATAGCTTTACAACTAGCTAGGTCAATGGTAACCTTGCTAGGATGCTAGATTTCACATTAAGAAAGTAAAATGTTAAAGAATACGTCACTTTATTCGGTATATTTTCTCCGCATTTCTAATTATAATCTGATCAATTGATCGATTGTAAAGAATAATTTTAATGTAGACACATAGATTCCTGTACACAGTGTCGATCACTATAATAGTAGTAAGGTTGTATTTGAACAGGAAATAATTGGATACCTAGATATAGAATGGAATTGCAAAGCGAAGTATCGGAAACAATCTACGACAGCTTTTTTGAGGCTGACCAACATTAATAATGCAGTCCTCCGATTTCAGTTATAGCTTAGATCTTAATTTTAACATTGCGAGTTTCTAAGACGATATGTTTTAAGAATATCTTAGGCCACCTAAGGCAGTATCTACCAGCTTGTAAACCAGTTTTTTATATTGTGAATAGCGACCCACATTGGGGTCAGGGAATCTATATTTGGATCTTATCTTGAAATGAAATTATTTTTCCTTCATCCAGTAAGGGTAATCGTTTTTTTTTTAACTTAAAATAATTATACCTGGTCCCTTGAAGTGATCGTTTTGGCTCAATGAAACTTATATATAAATAATATGTAAATAACTGGCATCGTTAAAGCTATTTTTGATCCTAAATAAATTAATTTCCTTTTTGATGTTTTCGTTCGGTGAACGAAACCGTGTCCAATTATTCGATGGAATAATTTAATATATTTTCCAGACTAACGTTTGATCTTTTAAATCAGATTGATTGATTTAATCTTTGTCAATTCAATAAACATTTAGAAATGAGGACCTTGATGAATATTTTGCAAACGTTAAAAGCCCTATAGCTTAGTCGTTACAACGTAATTAAAGTCTCTAACTTCGATTCTAAAAGTACGTTTATCAAATAACATTTATTGACACGTGATCTTCGTTGAAAGCTTTATTAACCGTTGTATATTTGTTAAGAAGATATCCACGGAAATATTCACAAGGTGATATCACATTTATATATACAATTTTTCGACTTCTTAAGATTCAATGTATAATTATTTTTTGTTCTGTACCAATTGTTTCTTATTCCCACGCTTATCTATATAATTTGTAAAGATATTGTATAAAAAGTGCAGTTCTTGATATTTATAAATTAATTAAGTATATATCCCATGTGTATACTTAATTGCTTTACAAATATTAAGCTTTGAAGATATGTGTATTAATTATCTCCTGAAGCATTCACCCAATTAATCTGTAATTAGTCCTTTGTTATGAACCGAGTCTTTGTTTAGTGAGCAAATTCAATTTCATTTGTGATATTAATTATGTTATAATTTAGGATATAAGCCATCTTTTGACCCTTTATCTTTGTACTCTACGGTAGCGTGTTACGTTGAGACTGAAAGTTTGTCGCAGTAATTTATCTCAAGGTTCCCTCGTGCTTACCTTATTAATTACAGTATAATTTCTGATACAAAGTTCGATTAGTGTTTACGATTAATGACTACAAATCACTTAATTTTATATTAGTCTTGTACTTTTAATCACTCACATTATTGGATAGAGCATTAGTAAAAAAACATCTGAGGATTTACCAAAATTAAAAACGCAAAACCTTTGTAAGTTATCTCAACATATATTGTCGTCTTTCCTTTTTTAAGGAACAAAGATGAGATATGATTTCGTACAGCTTTTCCGGTAGTGGAAACTCGCAATAAAGTACGAAACTGGTTAAAAAATGATTACAATAATGTACAAAGACCCAGGCAAATATAGTTATACATTTCATAACGCACGGAATATGTATTAGCTAGTAAAGATCAACTTCAGTTTCAAAATGAAAAATTCCTTTCTTTCCAACTTTGAAAACTGTAACGTCGAGTCAGGCGGTAAAATTACAGTCCCCATCTCATTTGTATTCTTGAACTTCGCCTAAAACCAATGATATATTTGTCTGAGACGACAAAGATGTGTGTGTCTAACATTTCGAGAGTCATTTCGTATTTTTCGCTAGTTTTAAATTAAATAAAAATTCTGTTATAACTATTGTAATTTTTTAAGTACAACTCAAGAAATATTCTACAATATTATAATATACGAGGAAAACGTTAGTTATGAGTGTGGAAGAATACACCGGTAGAGGTAGACCTAGAAAGAGATGGATGGATTGCGTGAAAGGTGACATGATCAAAAAGGGAGTGATGATTGAGATGACATATGACAGAGTTTTTTGGAGGACAAAAACCTGTTGTGCCGACCCTACGGGAATAGGATAAGGAGGATGTTGATGATCATGATGAACTCAAGAAATATTCTGGTACAAAAACCTACGCTAATGATTCAGAAAGAGCTCCCAATCGATTTACACAGCTTGGAAGAAGATGACATTGAGAAGATGTGGGACATAATTTAGAACCAAAAATGTTCAACTGTAAATAAAGCTTTTATTACCAGTGTTAAATATAATATTATTTTATTAAAATTATCCAAATAAATAATAATCTCTTCCTTCTAAAAGATTCAATGATTGAAGATTCCTTTCAAAATCACCATTAGTCAGATCTAATTTCATACAAATAATAATTGGAAGTTTTGCTTCAGTAAAATGTACAACAGGCAATTTAATCAATACTTTTCTTTGTTTTGAACAATATAATTCTATCACAGAACCTATTTTCTTTTTATCTACATCACAAAATCCAAGAACTTTATTTCGGTTGTTAGGAGTTAGAGATCTTACAAATTTTCTTCCACTTTTGCCTGCATTCCAAACTGTAAACTGTTTCCATTGTGATAAGACAATTTTTTCAAGTCTATGCAACTGAATCAATTGTATAGCTTTTCTTGAAATTGAAAATGTTGTAGAATATTTGTGATAAGTATAATTAACCAATTCCTTGTCTACTCTGTGCAATTCTCCACCTCTGTCAATATGAGCATAAAAAAATATAAGATCCTCTGGTGTTCCTTGCCCTGTCTCAACAAAACCTCCCACATTATCATATACAGATCTATGACAAAACCAAGTAGGCATTAGTATTGTAGGGCCATATGAAAGATATATTTGTTGCTTTAATTGTAAAGACTCCAAAGTATTAGCCCAACGAACAAACCTCGGTGTTGAGTTTATCGGTGTTCTAGTCACCTTACTACCTATCAGAGTATTAGTGTTAAACCTTGCATAATTCCATTGCAATAGTACTCTATCTGGATGCATTGAATCATCAATATCTTGAAAACATAAATATAAACCAGAACTTATCCTAACAGCACCATTTTTGGCTGCGCCTACGCCTTTAGGGTCTTCGGACCCTGTTATGAGAAAATTTATTTCACGTTCCTTAAAGTATTGTGCCCATCTTTGGAGTAGTTCGTCCGTATTGTCATTGCTTCCATCATTAAAGGCAACAATTTCTACATTTGTCAACGTTTGAAATATAGTTTGATTAGCAATCGACTTCATGCAGCCATTTATCCATTGTGCTCCATTATGGACAGGAATTATAATAGATATATCTATAGTCATTATTCAAAAATATACATCTCATTTTAATACATTTGGTATTAATACGTAAACACAACATATTATAAAATACTTCTCTATATCCGCTATCAATTTCATATATTTTGATTTAAATTGTAAACATTTTATTATCATTATCACAGACAAAACTTGTAATCATTTTCATTTGAATTCAATTCAATTTTATTTCTATGAGTGACAAACAGACCATCTGAGACAGCTGACAGACTGTCCTGTCAGTGTCAGCTCAATTGCACAGTCACAAGAAATAGAAGAAAAATTATTGTACAGTTAAACGAATATTAGAAAACCCTTATTTTCCTAAGAAATCTTATTTTTTTACCATTTTTTGTGTACTGTTCGATTATCATCTTTCTGAAATCTTTGCGTTTTAATCGGATTTTACGGTTTATGTGACGTTAAAAAATACTCTTTGACAGGAGAGTCCTTTTGAAAAATACTTTTTATCTGTGCAATACTAATTGCAAGTTTTCATATTTCAATTTCAATACATATTTTAATTCATGTTTCATAAATTTTCCTAATTTGCACAAATGTTTAAGTTGAAAATTGAAAACAATTGTCTTAAATAATAATTCACTTGTCCAAAAGTTCAAGTTGATGTTTTATTATAATGCTTTTTAATAGTAAAACAGGTTAGATTTTTTTTTCAATGTCTTCAATATTAAACTGTGATGTTTTTACTACTTCCAGTATTATAAATGTTTGTTTTTGTTTATTTTAAATAAAATTTGCAGGTAACTCAAAGGTAAAGCGCTATAATGGATGAACGGCGAGTAGCGGATTACTTTGTTGTGGCTGGTTTGCCTGAGAAACCAGAATTATTGGACGATTCTGATTCTGGACATCTAAAAGGCTATAACTCTAAAGCGCCCATAACAGACATTGGTATGTATTTAACTTATTATTATTGTATTAAAAAAAATCACAATGATTCAATTCTAATTGTATTTCAATATATATGACTATAATTTCGATTTTAAACTAGCGCAAAACAGATAAATGCAAATGAAAACCGTAAAATAAAGATTACAATTAGATTTTGCCATACTTGACCACATAGTTTGTGGTGTATCATGTTACACTTCAATACTTGTATAGTGCAATAGTAATGTTATATTTAGAGTAATGAGGTACATATGAATATCTTAGAATTGAATGATATACATTATGGTTTAATAGTTAACTATTATGAACAGTTTGTAGATTTGGTTAAAATTTAAATGTTAGTTCCTTTATACCTCAATTGTGAATTTTACAACTGAATAAATTCACCTAATGATTATGTTATTAGGTGAATAAATCGTGTTCTGAATAAACAATATTGTGTGGTGAATAAATATAATTCAAGTTCTGACTTAACAAACAAACATAATCATAGCATCCTATTCTATTTAACAATCAAAGAGTATCAAAATTATAAAATCAGTTGTAAATTAAAAAGATTATTGTCAAAGAATATTACATGTAACACTTTTGTATAAAAGAACTAACATTTCAATTTTAACAAAATCTACCTTCTATATGCTCAGTGTGAAGGATTAATGAATTCTTCATAATATTGTTGTTTGAAAATGACCAGAGATTTGATACACTTTCATCAAGAAAGGATGTGAGAGTAAATTTAATCTTCCAATAAGTTACACCTTACTGGTTTAGAAATATATTCCAAATTTAATCAAATTGTTGCATTGAATAATATTCAAAGTGAATAGTATTTGTGTTGTAACATTAACTGATGATAAATAAACAAAATGTTTTCCATAGGTGTACTATTCCCGAGCCTAGGAGAGACAGTACCTAGTGGCTATGAGTTAATCGAGTTTACTCCAACTGGTCTGTCAGCTAACTTGAACCATGGCTCAATGCGTTCACTTGAATGCTTCCTTTGCTTACGAAGGGGACGTGATAAACCCCCCTTAGTTGATATAGGTAAGTGATATTTATACAGCTTTAAGTGATAAGTTATGTGAAATATTTATTTTGTAAGGACTTAGTTGAAAATAATTACTGATGTTGATAACTTCAACAAACTAAATGCCACTATAGTTTTTTTACATTAAACTTGCAGGGGGAAATTAGTGTCCTTAAATGTGTTAACATGTATAGTACACTCGCTTCTGTCTGCATGGAATTAAAAAAACAAAAGTGAGTAGCCTATGCGTTCTTCCAGACTATTGTCTACATATATGCCAAAATTCATCAAAAACTGTTCAGCTCTTTAGTCTTCAAACTCTTAACAAACATCCATTCACCCATCCATCATCCATCTAAACTTTCGCATTTATACTATTAGTATGATGTAGTCAACAATGACATTATATGTATGTTTAAAGGTTGACAATTATAACATAGTGATTCGTTTTTATATCACACAGTGGTAGGGCATTGTAGATAAGAGAGATAAAGTTATCCAGCACCATGCCACACCCATTGTTGGTTTTTTATATATTTTATTTCTTAAAAAATAGTTACGCGTGGTTGAACGCGTTTCGTTTTTGTGTATACACTGGCATTTATCTGGTGTTGATCTTCTCTTAATTTTTTTTTGTGCAAAGGAATGAGTACTTGACTATAATTATTTATACATAGTAACATTCTTTAGCGTTTTCGGTATTTATTCTGTTAGTATTTGTATTAATTTATTGTTAATTTTTTTATAGAAACCCCAGTGCAAAGTACTATCTTATAAAATATTAAGATTGTGCAAGTAAGGGAATCGGCGTAAAATAAGCAAATTATACTAAATAATGGTCATGTCAAATTCGCCCACTCGCGTTAGAGTACAATCCTACGCTATGCGACATATCCGTATTGTAGATGTTATATGTTTATTTAAAAGTGCATAAAGTTGCCAGATGGTCGATGACACATATCCCTTGGATATCCAAACAGGACTCTTATTTAATCGTTAGTCAAGCTTGTCATAAGATTTTCTTTCCGTCGCATAGGAACATAGGTGTCGCAAGCCCATGGTCTCGGCTAAGTCTAGAGGGTACACCTACCATGAATATGGTCTTATTTAATATAGAGTTTGTCTATTTTACTTTTTTCGATATTATGGAGGGGGCTGGCGACGCCCTTGCCTAGTAAAATCCTTAATACCGATACTTACAATCTAATGATTACATATACATTACAGTTTTAATTGTAATGAGAATTCTTTATTCCGCACATGCATTAGCATGATGGACGACACATTAATTATTCAGACCCTTAGACTTTGTATAAGGACTGTAGAGGCTAACATATCCTACTTTGTTCTCACTGGAAACATTTGTATAAAACATATTTTCGTCCCTATCATACTCTTTGACAAAACAGAGACAACAACGTGTTTTAACACAAGTATTACATCAATGGAAACCCACAATTATCAAACCTTGCGGAAATCGTGTACCGTGCAGCATACATTCTCTCGGGTATATCATCAGTACTTTATAATATACGGGTAGAACCTTGACACACACTTTAAATTAATCCACACTGACAAGACATAATCTAGTCGACTTAGCTTTAAGTTCGATTATACCTGTATACAGACGAATTTTATTATTACTTGCTAGATTTCACCCACGACTCCGTCCGGTTGGAATTAAAGAAAAACAAAAGCAAGAAGCGTATGTGTTCTTCCAGACCGTCCTCTACATCTATTCATTCATTAGGTTCCGTTCAACCGTTTAGGCTACAAACTCTAACAAACATCCATCCATCTAAACTTTCGAATTTATTATATTAGCAAGATTAGTAAGAGATGGAATTTCCTTTACATTTCATTTATCTCATTCCCATGAACTAAAGTAGACATAATTTTTTTATTTACTAAGCGTATCTCTTTCGTTAATATTCAATTTTGATGACGCGTATACTTTAAAGAAGCCATATAAGTTATTAAATAGCGAACATTCTAAAAATACATAACCTTAGAAGAAATGCGCCACTTTCATTGTAAAGTACGCATTGGCCTTACTCGATCGGAGTTTTATCATAAACAATTATTTTATACAGACTATGATAATTTTAATTATACGATACATGCTCATTGACTCTTTAATATTTATATGACCTATGTTTTCTACACTATTATAAATAGAAATGATTTGTATGTTTGTCAACAACACTGACTTTTAACCCTTAATTCGATAGTATCCAGTGTTACGAACTACTAATTTTTAAATCTACTAAATAGAAGAGAAAAATACGAGAGATTTTCATTATAGTGTGTTAGTAACATATGATATTTTCTTGCTACAAAAAAACTTCGTCGAATAGAGGTTAAAAAAGGGTTAAAAAGTCATTAAATATTACATCTACATTATCCCATTTTTATTATGAAATAAAATTATCTTGTTAGTTATGAATGTGGAAGGGTACACCGGTAGAGGTAGGTCTAGAAAGAGATAAATGGATCGCGTGGAAAGTAACATGATTAAGAAAGTTGCGATGAATTGAGATAACGTATGATAGAGTTATGTGGAGAACAAAAACCCGTAACGCCGACCCTACAAAAGTAGGTGAAGGAGGAAGATGATGATGAAATTTTCAGGGGTCTTTTGATATTCCATTATGAATCGTTTCCAGGTGTGATGTACGATGGTAGGGAACGTCTTATGGCTGACGCTGAGATGGTCATGGTGTCTGTTGGTGGTCGAGTGGCCAACGTCAACAACTCTAGCGCGAAGACTTTCATAACGTACAGACGCGCCCATGTATCCGCGCCTTGTAATGCGCTGGTGGTTGTCGACGTGTGTGTAGTGGTCACCAGCCGTGGAGAGATGCCGCCGCACGCCTTCTGTATGATCAACAAGAACTTGAACAAAGGTTTGTGTTTTTATATCTTTGTTTTTTTTTTATATGATGAGAGACAAAAGCTATGGCTGCCAACGTTTAATGCTCTGTAATCATCTTAACTATTAGGACAAGAATGCAGACAGGAGAAACAGAAATTTCGATCTTTATATGCTCATTTTTTGAGTCCTGTGTCTTTGAAAATGTTGTGTTACATTCCACGAGGCTTTCTTGTTACATCTTTTTTGTAAATAATAACCAAAATTATGATAAAACTTAATTTAAAATTATCGCAAGTCATTTCAAGAAATTGTAATTATAATAAAATTTAATGAGGCTTAATGTTAACTGTTGTGTCCTCGCAAAAACGTACTTTTAGTATGCGGTCACATTACAAAAACTGGTTCATTTCTACCACGAATTGAAAAACGATAATACGATTAAGCAAGGTAATCTTGTTTGTAAATGTAAAAAGGTTAAATGTCGAAGAAATAAAGCCAAACATAACTTATACCCTAAACCGATTATTAAAACATTCAGTACCTAATGCTCAAAACAGAAAAAACTTCGAAAATTGAGCTTTTTCATACGAGAACAGAGTAAGTGAGGTAGAGCAACATAAATTGTTGTACTGCTATTTGGATGCACATTTCCAAAACTTGTGTCCCAAAATTCATGAAATAACGTAGTTACCCAGTATTATAATGTTTGTACTTGATTTGCGCTATATAGGAACAACGAGCTTTGACTATGAACACAGGGCCTTTGAGCACCGTCGGTGCTAATTGCAACGGCAAAGAATGTACAGCTCCCCTTATCTATAGATAATTAACATGTAAGTCGTTTTAAATTACAGGTCTAATAGGAAGCGACGTTTTTCTCTGCTACAAGAAGTCAATGAACCGTCCACCACTTATAGCCTACAAACCGGAAGTATTGTTCAGGTTAGTTTTTTAATTCTGTATGCCCACGTCAGAATATGATAAATGCAATTTCATTACTTTACAGGTTAGTTATTAAGAAATCTTGAAGGCACTGTTAAAATATAAAACACTTGAATAATAATTTATTAATACGTAATTATTCTGATATAACCAAATGAAAGAGCATGTTTTGGCGATTATACCTATACTAATGAGTAATATTTAGCAAAAATGAAGTTATCTTTGTCTGATCTATGACCACAGAATTAGTTGTGGTAGGTCAGTTTTTATAAGTCTTATTTGTCGTAAAAAATGCTTCAAGTAACTATGTCTATTATTCAAAAAGCATTTAAAAAGACGTAAGGCATTCAAGGTCAGGCCTTGAGAATTTTTAATAATTTTATTCCAAGTAACAGAAAAATTCAGTCCGCAGTTTTATATTTAAACCGTGACCTTAATTAATGTACGTAAAAATTAGCGTCAATTGCTAGAACTTTCACAGAGATAATTAGCGATGACCAGCAAAAAGCGACCCAAATATACTCTCCTGTATGATAAGTTATACGACCCAACCAGGTTACGCTTATAAAATCGATTTAGTATTTTATACTAGCTTTCTCCCGCGACTCCGTCCGCGCGGATTTAAAAACCAAAAGCAAGTAGCCTATGTGTTCTTGCAGACTATGCTCTACATCAAACTAAATTTCATCCAGATACGTTCTGCATTTAAGGCTACAAACTCTAACAAACATCTATAAACCCATCCTTACATTTAAACTGTCACATTTCTAATATTAGTAAGATTCAAATTATTAAGGGGAAAAATTCGTGCCCACTCACTTTTTTTAAGGAACGATGATCCATTCCTGCACACATCTACCAATGTCTATAAGCAAAAGTCACCTGCTATTTTGACGAATTAAAATGGCTGCTTGCTCGTTTGTTAACCTTTACTATGTAATGTATGTAAATTGGCGAAACCAAATTCGCATTTAAAAATAAATCAGTAATCACTTATCTGGAACACACTGGACCTTTGATACATCTATACTCTATGTTATAATAATAAAGCATAAACACACATTACTTTGTGGCGTAGGATGTCAGCAATCACAGCAGATTTTCGAATAATTATCTTTTTAATAAAAAGCCCTTCACTTACGACACGCTTTAGGCTAGATATTTTCATGCTATTAAACTTAGGTGGTAAATAAATTGGAAAAATACTTTCATGTGGGCTACTACAAGCTGCCAACATTAAAGAAGCAAGGTTATTGTGGTAACGGTAAATTTGATATTTGCAATTGAGATTTTGACAAACGTAAACATTAAAATAACGTTTTATAATTTCATGCAGATGAAGCCGCACGGGTAGAGCTAATTTGAAATAAACGGCTAAACAATATTTAACTAACTGATAATTCCAGGTATCCAATGGTAGACAGACGTAGTCTAGCGTTTCCTACTTCAGTACCATTATTCTGTCTACCGATGGGAGCCACGCTGGAGTTGTGGCCGAACAATGCGGCACCTCCCAAACCTGTCTTCTCCACCTTCGTACTCACAGTCGCTGATGCTACCGATAAGGTATATTTACTAAGATAGTGGAATATTTTCAGTTATGTTTATGCCCATTTTCCCACTCAAAGATTTAATTTATTCTTTTTCACATTAAAAGTAGATATGTCACTAATACTAATTTAAGGTTATAGAGGAAGTCAGGGTAGATGGTGTAGACAAGGTCAGTCTTCATGATTACACCAGTAGTTTCGGTTTCTCTTACTAAATCTACACTAAGACTTCTTAACGACTTTGTTTGACGATTAAGGAATAGATAATAAATAATTAAACGAATGACTGTGTTAGATGATTTCTTTAATTTTTGTCAGTAAAAAAAAATATTCTGTGTAATTTAAATAGCAAAGCTTCAAGCGTTCAATCACAATTTTTCAGTTGTTTAGTGTAATATGTGTGTGCAGGTGTACGGGTCTGCGGTGACGTTCTACGAGCGGTACGCGCACGAGCAGCTGTCGCCATGGCAACAGGAGCAGCTGGGCTGGCGCGCCGGCGTGTCGCACGCCGCGCACTCCACGCACGTCATCAAGTGCATCTGTCTGCTGTCGCGCTGGCCCTTCAGCGACACCTTCGAACGCTGGCTACTCTACATCTTGGTCAGTTTGGGAGACAATATCTATACTAATACCACACTAATTCGTGGCGTAAGATGTTAGCAATCACAGCATATTTTGGAATAATTCTTTCTTTGTTTTCAGGACATGTCGTGGAGTGACGAACCCCTACATATACCAATTGAACGCTATGTAACGCATCTACTGGAGGAGGTTCCATTTCCTGAGCCAAGGATATTGCTACAGGTAGGTTTACTATGTTTCCTCCGTTTTTTATGTATTGAAATACCTCAAAAACTACTAGACGGCTTTCAAAAATTTTTTCACCAATAAATAGCTTATTGTTATCAGTGAGTAGCATACAATTTTTATTTCTGATCATACAAATGTATTGAAGAGCAGCACATACTGTGCCGACCCTCCGTAGGGGAAGGAGCAAATAGATGATGATTTCTGCAGACGAAGACGCGAGCAACAGATAGTGTTATTTACATATATGTATGTTTTCTATTTATTTTCAGTTGTCAGCTACTCATGCCCACGAGCGTGTGATAGTGACCCGTCGTGATGAACAACCGCTGGCTCGCAGCGGCGCGGGATTCCGTCAGCTGCTGCTCAACCTCGGCCCCGACAACTGCTTGCTGCTGCTAGCACTCGCCATCACAGAACAGAAGATACTCATACATTCGTTAAGGTATATTATTGCAGATATCCATTTGTTTGCCGAGATATCCATATATTTGCTAAGGTATATGGATACCTTGGAATAAACGGCTAAGCAATATTTACCTCGCTTCTCTCTCTCTCTCTCACTCTATCCATGTATCTATATTTTTTTAATCCCTGAAGTCACGGAATACTGAGAGAATTCAGAGAGAGAGAAGGAGAATTCAGAGAGTGAGAGTTCACTGTGAGAATTCACCGCCAGAGTTGTTTTATGCTGTAAAGTGGTTATTCTAAGGCCTTTTGACGTACTCATACCATTTCGGAGACGTATCCTTGTGTTAGCGATCCATGGAAAAGATATGGATACATCACTTAATGAACCCATACACTCACATTTTTTTTATGTTTTTTAAGTTTTGATATTTAAATTTTGTTTATATTCCAGGCCGGATACATTAACAGCAGTATCAGAAGCTGTCTCAAGTTTATTATTTCCCTTCAAATGGCAGTGTCCCTACATACCGCTGTGTCCTTTAGGTAACTAATATCCTTAATACATATTTATTTTCTACATAGTGTTGAGTTCTATATTTCGGTATTTTATTTTCAGGTTTGGCTGAAGTACTACATGCACCTCTTCCATATCTTATAGGGGTCGATTCAAGGTTTTTTGATCTCTACGAACCACCGCCAGATGTCACCTGTGTCGATTTAGATACGAATAATATAACAGTAAGTATTGAAAATTATATTGTTGTATAATAAATCATAGAAACATCAAAACGTACTAGAATAATATAATTGCATCTCATCATCATCCACTTGCCCTTATCCCTTATTGAGGGTCGGCACAGTATGTGCTGCTCTTCCATACATCTCTATCAGCCGTCATATCTGAATCCACTCCTTTCTTAAGCATTTCCTCTTTCACACAATCGATCCATACTTTCTTCGGTCTTCCTCTTCCTTTGTAGCCATCCACATTCAATCTTAACACTTTCTGGTTTATGTCCCCAATTACCTAAAATTGCATATAGTTTAACTATAATAAAAAATTTAAGCCTAACCGTTAGTGATTGGAAAATTTTCAGTACTTATGAAAATCCCAACCCACTTTATATATTTTTTTCTTTTAGATATAAGTAAATTGAATGTTAGTTTTTGTTATAGATATGTGAGTCTCAACGGCATATATCGTTGAAACTGCTACCGAAGCGACAAGCGCGTGCGCTGCGACACACGCTGGAATTACTATTTGCCAACATACGGCCTGGTACGTTAAATCAGATAATGCCACACTCAGAGTCATTTAATCACTGAGAAACACATTAGTGTACTACTCTATTGACTACTATATATTTATCTAATAAATAGTGTCATACAAGTATGAATTTTATAGCTAAGGAATGCTAAAATAAGGATTCAACGACCCTGAGTATGATGGATTTTTTTATTTCATTTAAATTTTATACTTGTTACATAAATTAAATGCATGTTATGTTTTTACAGCATCCCCAGTACAACGATCCGGTAATAAATTTAATGGGGAACCTACTACAAGTTTGGATAGAGATTTTCAAAGGAGAAGGAAAGAAGTGAGTAATTATCAGAAAGAAAGAGAGAATTTAAAAAACTCTCTTATTTATATTATTTGCTAAATAAATTCCTGACAGTCAGTTGTTTTGTATTATACATTTATTTAACTAACTTTTGCCTGCGATTCTGTCCGCGTGGAATTAAAAAACTAACTAAGTAGCCTATTTTTTTCTTCCAGACTTTCTATATCTGTGCCATATTTTATTAAGATCCGTTAGCCAGTTCTGGAGATGTAGTAACAAACATCCATCCATCCAAACATTCTCGTTTAGTACATTAGTGAGATTGAGAAGTAAGATAGTAAAATGTATGTAGAACGAAAGAAAATATCTTATATATTCCTTTTTTGCTGTTTAAATTTAAAGCAACAGTACTTTTTTGTGTACATCCTAAATTTCATGTTTAAATTTACATTTGATTATTTCCAGCAAGCATTAGAATTGAAGATCCAAGAGGCGTTCCTCCGCTTCATGGCGGTGACGCTGCAGGGCTACCGCGGCTACCTCATTCCCATCACGAAGGCGCCCACCGTCGGCACCACCGACCCGCACGCACTCTTCCATATGGATGCTTTCCTGCGCTCTAGAGATAAGGTACATGTATACATAATTATATTTACAACTAGCTGTTTCCCTGCGGCTTCTTCCGCTTGGGATTATAATGGTTTTATTTATCTTTGTGAAATTTTTTGCAAATGTAAAAATTTAAGTGCACAATGGTAACCTTGCTTTTTTGATTTTGTAGCTTGTAGTTTCTGTCTCATTCACGCATGACAGTTTTTTTCCAAATTATTAATTTCCCAAGTTTAGTAACGCGAAAATATATAGCACTACCATTTAAGATGCTATTTAAATATCTTGTAGCTTAAAAATCAAAGGTGTCTAAAAAGGCGACAAGTTTATTTTTTTTTATTAATAAATAGATGTATTATCCATTCTAATTTGACCGTCTATTGTATTTCAGACGCAGCAACGTTTCTTTGCGTTAATGATGCGCACGCAGATGTTCACGCGCTTCATCGAGGAGCGTTCGTTCGTGTGCGACGCGGACGTGGGGCTCACCTTCTTCGATGAATGCATCGAGCGCGTGGCCGCGGGGGATGGACACCCCCTGCTGGGGGTTGATGCCTCCAACTTATCCGAGAGAACCGTCTTCGTACTACCTCCGGATCCACCGCAACCAGGTATTTTTAACAATAAATTTAGGTTAGTTCACTGTACCAACAGTTCAACAGTGTTTGGGTCCAAGTATATAGAAGACGTAGTGTAAATGTTATGTTTGCTGACATCCTATGTAACTAAAAAGAGTGTGTTTACGCTTTATTGTATCAGTTTAGATTATAGATTTACATTACACGTAGCTTACACTATCTGTTGCTTGTAACTTGGCTCGCGTGACATTAAAAAAAGTTTCTTAATCGGGAAAGAATCTTTCAAATCGGCATAGTATTTTTTGAATCATCTCAATACATACAAAAATACAAATCTTTTCTCCGCGACGTCATCTATTGATTAGTAGTCGAATTCATGTTCATGGAATAATCGAGCTGTTTCCAGAAAGTTCGATCGCAGTGACATCTGGTGGCGAGTAGCGAAAATGACGTTCGCGAAAAGATGTCTGGGATATTCGAAACGGCATCGAGAATGTTCTATTGTAAAATGTTTGTTATTCAAACTAGCGAGAAAGTTTTGGAGTTAAATGACAAATGAATAACGAAAAGACGATCGAAATTTGGGGTATATAAGGGGAGTCAGACGTTACTTGGGGAGTCATACGGTGGAAAGTGAACAGTGAAGAAGAAGTCCTAAGTGAATTGCGAAGAAGATTAAGTGACCATGAAGTTAAAGTGCTAGTGCTACAGTGTCAGTAGTGTTTTTGTATAGTGCTCAGTGTAAGTGAATCTGTGTTTGTGCGTGTCGTGTAGTGTGAACGGATAACTGAAAAAGTGCAGTAAATTCTTGTAACTTTAAGTCGCGAATAAATTTACGAAGAAAATTTCAATGTGTTAACTTTATCCCCCACGCTCGTAACAGTAACTAGTATAGAAATAAAATATAGATGTTTATATAGATTCGCGTTTAATAATAGTGAATGTGTTCCAGATGAGACATATACGTACTCCAAGTTCGAGCTGGACCTGGGCCTGGTGGAGGTGTGCCGGGGCTGCGCGGGCGGGCG